CAGCCTCTTTTTCATCCTTCCCTTCCTCTATCTTACTATTCACTACCAATAGACCACTGGGTATCATTAGCAAGGCATGCTTAGTCCTCGACAGTCGCTCGCCGTCACCATCACCACCACCGCCTTCACCGTCTCTTCCCTCGCCGCCAGAATATCAGAGGAAGCAAGATAACCATTTCGGCTGGAGACTTGCTACGGACTTGGATCTTCCTGCTCGTCTGGTCTCTTTTCTCCCCGCCTCTCCCCGCCTCTCTCTCTCCTCTGTTCCCTTCCGGCTCCTCTCCTAAATTACTCCACGATAACACTATACAATGGCCCCTGCTGCTGCGTCAAGTTCCGGTGCGAAGAAGGCCTCCATGCCACCCGAGAGGAAGTACAAGTGCCAGTTCTGTCACCGGGCCTTCAGTCGCAGTGAACACCGCAGCCGACATGAAAGATCTCGTATGTCTTCTCGTCTCCTACTATTTTACGCTCCTCTTTTAACTAACAACGACGCCTACTAGATACAAAGGAACGGCCGTTCAAGTGTCTCAAGTGCAGAAGTACCTTTGTGCGCAGAGACCTGCTCCTCCGTCATGACCGCACAGTCCACGCAAAGGATGGTGGGATTCCCTTGGTTGCCGAGGGACGTCGACGTGGTGGAAAGGCTGCTGCTGCTGCCGCTGCCGCCGCCGCCGCTGCTGCTGCCACGACTGCCAACGCTCCACAGACGACCACATCAGCGACAACAGCGCCAACTCCCACGACAGCCACAGCCAAAGCTAGCAGCCCGTCCAAGTCGTCCACCATCGACCCCGCTGCGTTGGAGCAGATAGAAGCCAGCAGCGATGGCATGGTCGACCTCGAGACCGCAGCCATGCTCATGACAGACTTCCAGCACAAGGCTGCCGCTTCTGTCACCTCCGCTCAGCATCGCAGTCACCAGTCCTACTCGGATCGTGGGAACAGTCTTATGGAACCATCTGTCTCCTACATGTCTGGCAACGCTACCCTCCCCCAGATGCCTTGGGATACCTTCATGGCCGATGTCAAGCCCTCCAAGGAGCCCTCCAGGTCCTCTCAGGCTGCTGCTTCTTCCTACCAGCACCAGCACCAGCACCAGCATCAGAACATGGTTGCTCCCACCATCGAACGCAGTTCCTCCAGTGACAACTTGGCTCCAAACATGCACTCGCTCGTCCATTCTTTGCCTGTCTCTGGTAACTCGACCCCCAACGCTCTGTCTCCTTACCCATCCATGACCGGACCCGTTTCCCCAGTCAATTACAGGCGTTCACCCGGACCCAGCCAAGTCCTCACCCAGCCCAAGACCCCACAGATTGCCAGTGATGCCGAGCGTCAGATCATCGTTGACCGGCTAGAGGCCAATGACAGCCTCAACAGCCTGCCAGAGACCTTCAAGGTGCCCACCACAGCCGTCTTGAACAGATACCTGTCCACTTACTTCAACATGTATCACCACCATCTGCCCTTCCTGCACCCGGCCACATTCAATCCCAAGGATGTCTCGTCTCCTCTGCTCCTCGCCGTGTTGTCCATTGGTGCCCTCTACACCTTTGAACGGGAAGATGCCTTCATGTTGCACATCGGCTCCAAGATGCTGGTCAACCAGTTCCTCCAGCAAAAGGACAACTTCGACTCGAGAAAGTGCCCCCTCTGGGCCATGCAGAGCACCTTGCTCAACATGATCTTCGAGAGCTGGAGTGGTGACTCCAAGGGCCTCGAGTGGACCTGCTCCATCAAGAGCTTGCTCGCCAACATGGTCGCCGGCAACAGATACCAGCTCAAGCTCAGAATAGACGCTCGCGAAGGTTCTACCCCGCGACACGCCGAATGGATCGAGGACGAGAGCTGTCGTCGAACGTACTACGCCGTCTTTGTCTTCTTCGGCATGCTCAGCCTGACATTCAATCACAATCCAGCCCTGACCTTCAATGAGTTTGATACCCTTGAACTCCCCTCGTCAGAGTCCCTCTGGAACCTCGAGATCTCGGACGAGTACACCTGGCGCCGAGCTCTGGGCGGCAGCTCCAAGATCCTTACTGTCAGACAGGCCCACGACAGCCTCCTGCGGGGCGAACCAGTGCGTTACTCCGCCTATGCTACCCGTGTCATGATCAACGCCCTCTTCCTCGAAGTATGGTATCAGTCTCGCACCATCGACGCCCTCCAGGATGTGGTCACCCAGTACAAACTGCGCCTCGCAATTGAAACATGGGAGAAGTCCCTTGACATCTGCGAACCTGAAACCATAGTCGTTCCCATCAGCACCCCTCAAAAGGGCCACCCTCTCATCTTCAACTCCATGGCCGTCTACCGCAACACCCGCGCCAGACTAGAAGTTGACCTCAAGTCCATCCAGGAAGCTCTTCGCTACCACTCGCCCTACGAGGTTGCAGCAGCCATGACCGTGGCCCGCGAAAAGATCAAGCGATCCCAGGAAATGAACAAGGTCGTCACGCAGTGCTTCGAGTGCATTGAAATCGCTGCTGTTCAGGGACTGAACTGGGTTGCCACAGCCTCTGCTACGAACTGGAGCATCGAACACCCACTCTGCGGCATGGATATGATGGTCATTCTCAGTTTGTGGCTATACCGTCTTGAACACGACGAGGAACAGGCTACTGAAGACGAGCTGGAGCTGTATTACAAGATCCGTGGCCTGTTCACCAACGAGCTCTCCGACCAGCATGACAAGCTTTGTTCCACCGTTGCGCGCGTATGGGGGAACATCCTCGACGGCGTAGTCGTATGGGGGTAAGTCTACTCTTTTTCTATTCCTTTTCCTTCTATAGCCAAATGCTAACATACTCTCTAGAATCACCAAGCTCATGGGCGAGGCATTCAAGCTTCACTCCCAGGCTCTCGTTGGATACCAGGACGCAGCAGCTAGTCCCGAGCAGGCCCTTGAACCCATGCCTATCAAGGGTCTTGCCAGTGTCGGGACTGCATATTGACTGCGCCGTTGACCGCTCTCCCACCTCACACAACCTCGAAATTGTGCATCTCTCCCATCTCTTTATCTTCTTTTCCTTCTTCCTTTCCTACGGCGTTATGTTGAGGCTTTTCTTTTCTTTTCTCTTTTTTTTCCTTTTCGGTTCCATTTCCTTTCCTATTTCTTTCTGATTGCAGCATCTCCTTTCCCTTTTTCCTCCTCTTCTTCTCTCCCTCTTTCTCGCGAATTTTTGCTCCATCTCCTACGTTTCCAGCGTTGCTTTTCTCGATTTCTTTCTCTACTTTCTCTATTTCGGTTTTCGCTTGCTTGAAGGGGGTGGTCACGGACAACAACACATTCATACATACACAAATAGATTGGCACTACCGGGGAAAAACATGGACATGGGGTTTTGGCATGACATGGCAGGCAAAGGCGAATGCAAAGCGGCAAAGGGGATGAAGAAGAACAACGAGGAAGGCTTCTCTACCGGCTTGCCTTTCCTTTCCTTCTCTTCTTTTTCTAATCTGCATTTGCATGCCTCGTGTCAGAAACGGATTTCCTTGGATTTGATTTTTCCCTCATTTTCTTTTTCTGCTTCGTTCTTTTCTTTGGCTGGTGGGTTTGAGATATCTGTTCATGTCTCTTTTTCGTTCTTTTTCTCTCTGCTCCCTTCGTGCGGACTGGCTGCTCACACATCACTCCCCTTATACCTCCTGGTGGCTTCACCCGCAACCAATACCCATCCAACCTACATCGACACTTAGCCTCCGCTCTACATCCGAGCAAAGGCATACACCTCATCTTCTCTACACCAGCTGGTCCTGCGTGTCCGCGTCTGTTCGCCGCATCCACTTGCTTCTCTTCTCTCTTTTCTACTATTACTTTACTACCTTTCTACAACACCCTACATTTAATCTTTAGTGCCTTTTTCTTTCTTTTCCTTTTTGCTCTTTTTGCTTGCGTTGCTTTGCTTTGCTGCTCCTTTTTGCTCGCGGTCTATATACTCCATTTAGTTCTCCTGTCTTCTTCTGCTCTACTCTGATACTCTGCTCCGTTCTGCGTTTGTGCATGGCTCTCATCTCCTCGTCCTCGTCTTTGGACTTAATATGCCTCTGCCTCCTTACCTTGACGCGTTCGAGTTCATTGTTTCGCCAATTTCCTCCATTTCCTCTTTTTTTTTTGGAATATATTTTTTTTTACTCTTTTCCTTGTTTGCTTTCCTGGTCTGCGTTCTGCGTGCCGCGTTAATGTCTCTCGTCTCTATATCAATCTCATCTCATCTATTTACCTATTACTTACTAGATTTCTGTTCGGTCAGCCAGTGTTTGTTTTGCTTTTACTTTTCCTTTATTTTCTTCTTATATTTAATCTTTTTTCTGTTGATATTTGATATAGCTCCTATCTATCCATCTATTCTATCTATTGATTTATCTTTTCTTATTTCCTTGGTCAGATCTTCGATTCTCTCTTTATTCTCCATGGCTGATTCTGCTCTTTTTCTTTCATGTTTCTCTGCGCTTCTCTTCTCTGGTCTACTACAAATTGCGTGTACCATACAGACACTTTACTTAACATAACCCAAATAATCTCATCATATTGATGGTGAACCGCTCTCTTCCCTTGCAGCATCGAATTTAAATTAACTAGTAAACCTGTAACTTAGTAGATTGACGTCAATGTACCGTTCCAGTCGAATTCAACGTATTTATTTAAACCAACCAACTCTCGCCAAACACCCCCCCCCCAACCAAGCCACACCACATCACCGGTCATAGCAAACCACACACCTCACTAACTCACCGACGTCCTACCGCCGGCCGAGAAAAGCCTATCCCCAATATCCCCCAGACCAGGCTGGATCATTCCCTTCATGTCAACCTGCTCGTCCACGGCCCCCGTCCAGACCTGCACGCCTTCCTCCCACTCCCCAGCCGCCTTGATAAGACCGGCATGACTACCCAAGATACACAGGAACAAGATCCGTTCCACCCCCCACTCACGCAGCGTCTGGATGGCCGCTGAGGCAGTGCTGCCCGTCGCGACCACGGGGTCGATGATGATTGCTAGCTTGGCTGCGGCGGAGTTGACGCCCGTCGAGTTCGGCTGGAAGGGGAGGTTGTTGTAATATTCTACTGGTTCGAGGGTGGTGGGTTCGCGGAACAGGCCGAGATGGTGCACTGCTGGCGTACATGGGAGAAGGGTTTGAATTGCTTTCCGTTTCAACTAGTTAGACCTGCTGTCCAATCCGTCATGTCATAATTAAGCGGGTTTGGGTATGGATGTATGTTTTATGTACCGTTGACCATGCCCAGGCCTGATCGCAGTATAGGAACCAGGGCGATCTTGTCTGGCGTTATGAAGCTAGTGGTATATTCGTATCCGAGGGGGGTGGTGTTCTGTTTCATTCGTTGCCCTGTTTAGTATCGGGAACTATTGAGTGATGGTGGCAGCGGGGAAGGCAGGGAACAACACACCTTCTCGCCGGGGGCCACGGAGATGTTTTCTGCAAAGGCCTCACAGCCTATTATCGTGGCTATCTCGTGGACTAGGTCGTTGGTTTCACGGCTTGATGCCTTGCCTGATCGAAGCTGGGAGAGCTTCACCTGTAGACACGGATGGCGGGACACATGGACGTTTTTCGGTAGTGTCTGGGCCATGGTGAGGAGATTCTGAATCTATCCAACGCTCAGCTGCTAAACGGGATGAATATGGGGAGTATATAGCAGTCAATATGAGCGGAAGAAGCAGAAGAAAAAAAATGGATGTAGATATCAGGATGGAAGCGGACGCGGAGGGGAGAAAGCGGCTGATTCTTATCTTATCGGTAAGAAATGGGGTAAGCATGTGTAATAATACATGTAATATCGATACGCCGGTTGATAATAAAATACATGGAAAACTCCCGGCGAGAAGAAGAAAAGAAACAAGAACGAGAGAAGAAGCGAAGAAGATGGCTTGCGAGACTGCTGGAAGCTGCAAGTTGATGCCACCGAGGATCTCCAGCTTGCTCCGCCGCTTCCCCGACGCTATTTGACGCCCGAACTACCTATGAAGCAGGGAAGAAGCAGTGCTGCGAGCCCGCCAGATGCCCCAGTCAGTCCCAGACCAGCGAGGCGAAGATGCGTCCTACGAGCTCGAGACGATAGGATCGCGAACGATCCTGGAGCGGCGTCATACGGCAGATAGCGGAAGAGATGCCGTTCCAGATGGCAGGTCTTCCTCGTCCCGCCGTGAACCGTCTGCGTTACTAGAGAGCGCAGAGTCATGCATATCCTCACCCGAACACTCGCAGGCAGAGTTGCAGCTATCTCACCATGCGACCCAGCTCTACACAGTCTCCTATCTTGTCCTCTTCTCCATATTTGGAACCCTGGCTCGGATTGGACTGCAGGCCTTGACGGTATATCCCGGGGCGCCAATAACTACGGGAGTGACATGGGCGAACGTCGGTGGCTGTCTGCTCATAGGCTTTTTCGCGGAGGATCGCAAGCTCTTCCGTGAAGAATGGGGTGCTTCTTCTGCTGGACGGGGAAAGCTGAATGGCAATGGCGATGAGCAGCAGCGAATTGACGATCCTGATAACGATGTGGACGCGTTAATGAAACACAAGGCAGTCAAGAAGACTATACCGTTATATATCGGTCTGACCACCGGATTCTGTGGCTCGTTCACATCCTTTTCGTCCTTCATGCTTGATGCGTATCGTGCACTGTCAAATACCCTGCCGAATCCGAATACAGAGAGTATCTTGCCTAGAAATGGCGGGTATAGCTTCATGGCGGTCGTAGCCGTCATGTTATACTCTATTTTGCTTTGTCTCTCTTCAATCGTGGTTGGAGCTCATCTCGCAGACGGCCTGTCATACTTCACACCACCCCTCCGGTTCAAGTTTATGCGTAACGTACTTGACCGACTCGTCGTCGTATTGGCCTTCGGGTGCTGGATCGGAACTATCTTCCTTGCCATGTGGACGCCAGATCGATATCGGCCAATACAAGAGCAGCACTGGCGTGGTTCAGCTGAATTTGCCATTATATTTGCACCCATAGGCTGTCTGTTTCGATTCTATGCTTCCTTGTACTTCAATCCGTTTGTTTCTTCATTCCCACTCGGAACGTTCTTGGTCAATATGATAGGCACTCTGGTTCTGGGCGTGTGTTTCGATTTACAACATGCTAGCACCATCGTTGCTAGAAAAAATATAGACGATATACCGTCCTCCCACCGGCTACTTGGCTGCCAGCTCCTCAGGGGCATAATGGACGGGTTCTGTGGATGTACCACCACTGTGAGCACTTGGATTGCTGAAGTTCACAGCCTAAACATGAAGCATGCCTATCTATATGGACTCGCCAGCATTGGATTGGGGCTCGCCCTTTTAGTTGTTATCATTGGACCCATGCAATGGACTGCCGGATTGGCGCAACCGGCCTGTTAGACTTGTATTATATACGCAAATATACATTTCAACATTGGGTATATCAGAACTGTCTCTTTATCTCTGCGCCCATCAAGCCTGTTCACTAGTTATATCACCCATTTACACGACCAAATTTTCGCGAATGTCACCGAACCCCAACCCGCCATCACTGTTCCCGTTTCGAGCCGTTCTCCCAGTTGATTCAATATTCGATGTTTGATCATGGCTGCCGCTTGAACTGCTCTGATGCGACTTTTTCATCTCGGATATATTCGCAAGAGCCCTCTCACGGGCAGCGAAGTCTTCACGACGGGCACGCTCCCTAGCGGCATTGCGTTTTTGAGCAACTAGACCTCGATATGCTTGTTAACTTCCAACCTTCGAAGTAACCCATGCTTTGATGCTTGATGGGATGTGATAACGCACATTGCCAAAAGATCCAATACGCAGCCATGGTTATAATGGACAGACCAATGAAGCCGAACATAATGCTTAGTTCCCGCTTGAGAGACGTAATAGGGGTATACGGCATCATGGGTTTATGACGAGGACGTCCGCCATGCCCATGGTCGTGCGGATGCTGCATTTTATCGAAACGTACGGATATGTCTTCGAAGAATGTGAGTGAGGCTTCCCGCGGGTGGTACCAGGTTTCAGTCCCTTCTATCGTCGGGTTCTTGGTAGACTCGCGTGATTACTTGCCCTGAACAGCCTGTGAGGAATAACTAGCTCTGACCAACAGGAAACGGGTTGGAAGAGCGTACATGGGTCGCACCCATCTGGGGATGTAATGTACGAGAGAAAAACTGGAGAAGATCGAGCGAGATATCTGAATGGCCGTCATGTGCTGTTTAAATATTATTCGCTCAGCTTCGCTACAATGTAGAGACAAAGAAAGGTAAATTAGTCTCTAGCCTGATGGGAGCTGAACGGCCGTCAGCCACATGCCAAGATGGGGGCAGGGCGTAGACGTCTCTATGCGAAGAGATATTGATAGATGATTTGGAGTATTTACATGGAACAGTTGATGAAATGAAGGACCTGACCAATTTCCAGGTGTCCCGCTGCTGGACGGAGGGATAGCTGGAGTTAATTCGTAAAATTGGGTCATTAATGGGTAGGTAGGCTACGGAGGACGGAGTACAATCCGAAGAATCGCCAAATGCCTAAGTATAATCAAGTCGGTTTTTGGGGGCCGGCTTGTCCAACTCCCTTGAATAGAACTTCTTTGATCTCTGCCGCCATTAGGCCAGCCATTTCTTCTCCAACGATCCGATCTCCGTCTTTGACAATCTTGACAAGCTGCTGGTCCTTTGCTGTTAGGCTCTCCTTCCCATCCACGATGGCATCGCCTAGTATACCGCCTCTCGCACCAGGACTCCCGCCTTCTATTGTTCTGGCGGCTCGCTTTATCTTCTGGCTGAGGTCATTTATCTGTTTGCTTCCGTAGTCTCGGTTGGTGAAAAGGGGGCTCTGGCTGATGGTTGCAACCCAGTATTTATTCCAGAGCAGAGATAATATTTTGGTGTCTAATGTGCTCTTGAAGTTTGAAACTTCCAGAGAATAGTATTGTGACGCATGGGCACCGAAATCCTCGACCTTATTCAGCGGTATACTCTGGTATTCATCATCTTCCTCCTGCCCAGAACCGGGTGGAGTATAGTCTTTTGGGTAGGTCCTGAATGCACCAATCTCGACCTTCCCAGCAGATATGGTACGATCCGGGTCAATAACCACGGCAACGAAAGGATCTGAATAGGTCTGTTGGGTGTCTTGTGTCGAAACATCGATACCGGACAACCAGCATCCGTAACCCGGGTGACTATGGTACCAGCCGATCGCGTTTTCCATTCTTCCGGAATCACGGCAAGATTGTAGATATGAAACCATATACTCATTCGCTTCATCTTGGGCGTTGACTCTGGTCTCTGTCCCCTCCACCGGCAATCGGAATGCATCAGTGACGACAAACGTATTGGCAGCCACAAACCCTTGCATAAGTCCCATCACCTCGAGATTTCCTCCCGATCGAGCGTGCATAACCATCTTAAGGAGTGCGGTGGCAGATATACGAATCGATTTGAAGTAGTGGGGGTCTTGGGCCCATGGCTTAGCAGCCATCAAGGCCTGAGTAGCTGCCTGGTCATAGTTATAGAGGGCATCGCGTTGCGGGTCAACAAGCTTGACATGGTTTTCGGCTTCTATAGAGCAGAATTTTATATTAGCTCACTGAACCAAAATTGTAGAACATGCTTGAAGGAGAAACGACAGATATACCCCATGACTGGAGTGCTGGAGTACTCATGGCTGGAACTGTCTTTCAGCTCCCGTGCTTTCTAAGCACAACTGCCTAAGCTGCAAATTTCAACCGAGCTACCATCTACTGTAGCCTCGAAATCATCAAGGTAGCTAACTGAAGTGACAATAGTGAAGAATCGTTGGTTAACAAGGGCCGACTTTGATATTTAGGAGAGCGATCAAGAAACACAACAGCGTATGATTACGTAAGACATGAGGATGACGTAAATTATTATATAATATTAAGTCACGTGAAAGCTTTGACCACTCAGTGTGACCCACTTTTTCTTCTGCGCTCTTTCTTCGACTGTGGTCCGTGCTTTCCCCATATCTATCGAAGTAAACAAAAACAAGCAACCCGAAGGGCGATACAAAGCGGGTGCAATATCAAGTACAGCTACTCGAGGAATTGGTGTATAGTTATTTTGCTTTACTTTCTGAAGAAAGATATAGAGAACAGGGGCCTCGATTCTCCTTAGGCCCCATTCAGCTATATGAAAAACTAATTCTTTGGTAACAAGCATAATTTAAACTCTCCTAGCATGCCGGCCATTATACGACGTAACGGTGGGAGTCTAAAAGTGATGTTTTAAAAGTAAGGAATAGGATCGAATAATTGCTGGAGCTACCTAGGTAGAATGCTTTATTTGAGCCTAATTCAGTTACTATGTATAGGCTTTGATGGCATGCTGTGAATCGCAGGATTCGAGATTGAAAGTGAAACAAACTTTCCTGGTTCTCACATTCCTAAGTATTGCTAGGCCCCATATCAGTCTTGGCTAGCCAGGTTAATGCGGTATTTGATAGTATGTTACAGGAATTGCCTTCCCTATTAAGTTCCCCTTGCCATAGTAACTTTTACCAGCTTCCTTTCCTTTCCCGAAGTGTCCATATGTTTGCAATGCCAACCAAACTCCTTTTGATTCCCGATGTGATCCTCTAGGGCTAGAAAATTCCTGTTTTAGTTCAAGAGGGCATCCATGCCAGCTAATACATTCAACATTAGAGGACTGGTATACCAGAAAACATGGATAGGGATGGACAAACCTTCGGAAATTGCAAGCTCGATCGCACGCTGGACCTGAAGAGCACAAGGATACCTGCCCTTCCAGCACCCCATAATAACATCTCCAAGGGGAAGATGGTAAACAGAAGGGTAGACTCCATTGTTGAGCCAGTGAGCAACCACGCCGGGCTCATTATCGGAAGAAAATGGGCGTCTGGTAGTTATAATCTCATACATGGTTGAGCCCAGGGCATGGATTTCAGCTTTCACGGTAGCACGGCGGTTTTGATCACGGTTCGGGTGGGCGTATCCAATCTCGGCAGAGACGGTAGGGAGGTTACCGCAGAAACCAGAGCCGGCAAAGTCGCAGAGTTTGATTTTGCGGTCGGCGTCGAGTAAGATGTTTTTCCCACAGAGATCGGCATGGCGGATATGGAGGCCATGAATGTAGTCAACGGCGCTGGCGAGCTGTTTGCACCATTTGATACGCTCGTAGATGGTGGCCACGCCTCCAGCTTGATAGTATTCACGCAGGTCACCATGCTCGGCACGCTCGAGAATGACTCCGTTCTCAATGACCTTGAAGCATCTGACCACATGGGGGTGTTGGCCAACACTCATCATGTTCTGGAAGATGAGCTTTTCACGTTCGATGTTTTCCTTGGAATCAGGGTCGTGAGAGCAGATCTTGTAGATCTCACCGCGAATAGCAGGGGAGGAATAGATCAGTCCGGACCCCCCAGAGGTAATAAACTTGGAGCCCTCAGGGGGATCAATGTAGCGTGCTGGAGGCATATCATCATCATCATTCCCAAAGAAGCACATCTTGACGCGTTCACTTGCCTTGTCTTGCGCAGTAGGTGGTTAGATAGGGAGAGAGAGATACCTAGTGAGAGAGGGCAGTAAAGTAGAGAATGATAAGATGAACCCCCTTTTTCTCCTTAAGGTAAGCGTTGCCTTATTCTGTTGTGCGTTCAGGGACTGTGTTTGTCACGTGGAATCTAGATAGGATAGACTGACAACATAATGAATGGCTTTAGCAGCAGTTATGGTATAGAGGATGTTTGAGCCTTAGCTTGGAAAGAGCATGGCTCTTTCTATCATGATAGCAGGCCTCTGCCATGGCACTGCATGCGCTGATTAGTTTTATATAGGGTCATAATGTTACAACATAGTCTATATATTGAATGAAATTGCTGGACGGGTATCAAGATGTATAAGACTAGTTTTGGCTCCTGAAAAACTTGACAGCGGTATATAGGTCATCCGTGGTATTGGATATCATAGCTCATGAAAAGGAGTTAAAGAGGCCGGTCTCCTGCGCGGTAGTAGAACTCAAGATGATATTGATACAGGGGTATAATCATCTCGACTTCTCCCGGCCATCCTCTTAGCAGGTTATGATCCATCTTCTCGGCCATGTAGACCCAACTGTCGCCCAGGGTACTCTATATATGCTCCCACCCGGCTCCCAGACGTCGCCCGCTGCCATTCTCCTGTCGTCTTTGCCTCCGCCTTGTCGTTCCTTGTCATCCTCGCCGTCCGCTTTTCTTTTTTGTGAAGTAAAAATAAAGTCGTACCACGTGATGTATGACTTACATGCTGAGTCAGCGGTTGCCGTGGAAACTTCCGGCGAGTCAACAAATCGCAAAGCCGAAAGCAACGAACGACTTCTTTTAAACCAGATCATCGTCCGCATATCCAACATTTTCCCAGACAACAATCGACAAGACACCGCAGACACCGCTTCACTCATCGCTTCGACTGCTTCACTGCCCTCTCATCATGAACATGCGCTTTGCATGATATGGACTGTGATTGACTGCCTGCCTTCTGCGCCCTTGTTTATCTCACCCTCACTCGTTTCTCCCCCCCAGCGCGACATCCCACATCCCCCTCGGTCGCGACACACCGCACTAGACAGCGACTCGACTTTTTCGTTTAGAATTATTTTTCATTTCTCCTCTGCATAGCAGTGAAAACACTGATCTGGTGCTTGGGGCCAACTACTCACCAGCCGAGCCGGGCATGGCTGTGGATACAAGCTACTTGACCAGCCAGGTCAACTCCATCGTTGAGCAGCTCCATGGCCTATTCGATGACATTGGTGTTCCTCACCATGAACGGGAGTCGCGGGAGTCAGAAGTAAGTGCTCTGATTTCATTCTAGCGGCTTGCGCGAGTGATCATTACTGACACCAACGCGCAGTTATTTTCGGCTCTCTCAGAGACGTTACACGGGCATTTACAGCGTGTCGACGAGTAAGATACACCAACTTCCAAGTAATACGCCCATATTTTTATTTGACAAGTTCTAAATTTGAACATTTGAACAGAGAGAAAAACGAGATGATGCAAGAAGCCCACCATCTTAAGACTACTATTAAACAGATGGAAGCCTCACTCGACGGGGTTGGGAGAGGTAGCCGGGAATATGAAGACATTGAAATTACATATCCCTTGAACAGGTGCCTTGAAGCTCTCAAGGAAAAGCACAACTCGGTCAGTAAGCTGCACCGCGAGAGATTCGAGCAGGTAAAGAGTATGGTGACTTTTGTCTTCTCCACCCAACTTAAATGGGAACACTTTTCTAACAAGGATGCATAGAGCTCGTGGAAGCCCTGGTATCTTACTCATCGCACCTCGAGTCATCCTTCGTTTCTCTAGAACTTCCACCCATTGAGCCTGGTGCTGTGGCTCCTCCATCATTTGACCTTTCCCCTACCTATGTCAAAGCACTTGACGCCGAATTTACCAGAGTATACGAGGAGTACAACCGCCGTGTTGCAACAATGAGCAGCCTGGGGCAAGAAATAGTGAATCTATGGGCCGAACTCGGTACACCCCAAGCCCAAACGGAGCCCCTGATCGTCAAACATTACCGTGACTCTCCAGAACAATTAGGCCTTCACCAATCAGATATTGCCAACCTTCGTTCACGGCGCGAGAAGCTTTTGGACGAGAAGAATGCTAGAGAACGCAAATTGAAGGAGCTCAAAGCGGCGGTAGAGGCCCTCTGGGACAAACTAGGGGTCGAGGAGTCAGAAAGAAAAGGATTCCTTGCTTCCAACCGTGGGTGTGGACTGAGGGCTATAAACGAGTTCGAGGAAGAGCTCTCCAGGCTTAACGAGCTCAAAAGACAAAATTTACACCTCTTTGTGGAAGATGCTCGGTGTCGGTTGCAGGAACTATGGGACAGCTTATACTACTCGGAAGAGGAAATGCTGGACTTCACTCCAGCGTTTTCGGACGTTTACAGCGACGCTCTACTATCCGCCCACGAAGGAGAAATCGCACGTCTTGAGGCTCTTTTGGAGGAAAGGGCACCGATTCTTCAACTTATTGATAAGCACAAATCACTGATTGAAGACCGTGATTCTCTCAATGCTTCTAGCCAAGATGCTTCTAGGTTGATGGCCCGTGGTAACAAAGGAGAGAGACGTGATCCTACACGGCTTCTTAGGGAAGAGAAAATGCGAAAGAGAATTGCAAAGGAGCTGCCAAGGGTTGAGCTAGAACTCAGGAAGACTCTACAGCAGTGGGAAGATGAATACGGCAGACCATTTCTGGTACATGGTGAACGATATCTGGATGAAGTTACACCTGCACCTCCACCATCGAAACTCCCTCCACGATCTAAAACTCCTTCATCTTTCTCCACTGCTTCTAGGGCAAACTCTGTTCGAGGACCTCCATCAATACGTGGAGGAGCTCCGCCAAAACCAACCATCGCTCCTCCATCACGGGCGAAGACACCAAGCAGCCATGGTTCCGTGAGAAACATACCCAGGCCTTACTCTGCAGCCGCTGGAACCTTTCCAAAGTCACCTTCGAAGATACCTGCTCGTGTTCCACTAGGTAACCTACCTCATGGGAACAACTCTCCAGAAAGGCGAGAGCAGCCAACTCATACCTACTCATCAAGCACGGTCAGGGGTAATATGGGACCCCCTAGAGCACCACCACCAAAGATGAGAGATCTATTCCAACCACCAAGACCACAAACATCTTTCTCTTCTTACAAGACCGACCCAGAGCGCTGCCCAAGCTTGATTTCGGGTAGCTCCAGCGGTAATGTAACATCCCTTAGCCCAGATGAGGACTCGCATGAGAGGAAACATCACCAGCGTTCACGCACACAACCTTCAGTCCCATTGCAAGCTCCGAGCGTAAACTGCTCAGTTCAGTCACTACACTCCTCCAACGTCCAAGACAGCGGGCACTACCAATCCCAGCAATCATCATTCGTTAGCCAGTCAAGCGACAAACAGTATCGGTCACAAAATCCCTCTAACAGACAACTTTCAAATTCAACAATACAAACGGTAACGTCAGGATCAGAGAACTGGGAAACGTATGACGATGCATCTGAACCCGAAGCAGATGCAACTGAGGTCTATTATGCCAAACTACGAGCCACCCATGGCAAACGCATGGGAACACCAGGTGATCTAGGAGGTACAAAGAAAATAAGGGGCATCCGGGGCGTGAGCTCAGATGAATTTGAGACAGAAAATCACTACCCACACCGAGTTGACGGCAGTGATGGATGGACTGATGACTTGGAACAGTATTAACTGACGCATTGGATGAGAGTTTCTTGGAGTTCACTTGGAGCGTTGGAGTAGGTGCCTGGCGTCATTGGGATGAAACCATGAGATAACGAAGGCTACCGAGAGAAGCCAGGATTTTATACCAGCAGATATCTCTGATTCCTGGATCACCTCGCTTCCTGAACCAGCAGGCCACAGCTGGCACCGACAATCGATTGATATATGTGTTCACGCCATATGAACGAACCTCATTCCCCGTCTTTTTCTTTCTCTTTTTCTTCCACTCGCTCTCCTTCGGCTTTTCTGGCTGTTGTTGTCTTTTTGCAAATGATTTGTTGTAATTTGTGCCTTTTCTTTTTCATTTCATTGTTCCATTGGTTGGCTGGCCTCACAGGTTATATTCTGGAAAGGTCTCTCTACTTTCCTTGTGCCTCCACTCCTGGGGTACCATCATTTCATTGACATCACCCATCCCATACCCGACCACCTGCTGGCAGGCAATATGTTCCAGTTTCCTATTATTGATGTCTGGCAATGAATTCATTCCATTCTTGCCTTGGCCAGCAGAAAAAACGAGGCTATTCAGCCAAGGGACACATGCATGATTCCCTCCATTTCTCATTTTTGTATGTCTGGTTTGATTTTTGCTGTTTCAGTCTGCATTTATTCTGTGTACTTATTAGTCGGTTAAATCGTCCATTTATCCTTTAATTCGAGTTCTCTATGTCTGCGGTAATCCTTGGTGAAGCAGGAAGTTAGGTCTGGCTTATAAGCGTGGCTATCTATGCAAGTACAGAAGTTATATTACACCAAACAAACAGAGATTAAAAGTACATAGTGTTAATATCAGATGAATCTCTACGTGGACAGGCCAGCAAGTGATCCCATCCAGGCTTTAGATTGTAATTCTCCCTCAGTTGACGCAGGCCTTTTTTTATTTGGCATTTGTTTCTGAGGAAGGAGAGGTTTGGTGGCCTCTTTAGCGTCTTGCAATCGACGAACAGTCTCATCTCGTCCTAATATCTCCATAGTGTTAGGAATGCCAATTCCAGGAGCGCCTCCAGAAAGAGCCCAACGAAGGTAATGGAAAAGCTCTTTTCTAGCCCCCTGTTCCGTCTTTGCAATGGAAGCATCCCCATCAGGGGTGGAGACTGAAGTATCGGAAAATATATAAGAAGCAATATTTGAACGATGAATTTCGGCTGTCCAGTGCTCCTCGGGGATCATGGTTAGAACAGCAGCAGCAGTATGGAGGGTGGATATTGGGATCGCTGGTTCAGATGACGGATATTTAGCAGCAGCAGCAGCAGAGGTATATGCGGGCCGACTTATTGCCTGCGTGAAGAATGTTTCGTTTTGCGTAACGAATTCTTCAGCGGTGGTATATGATCGAGCACCTTCTTGCAGGAGAGATGCTACATATTTATTGAGTGGCCTGCCTTTGAGAAGAGGCGATCTAATGATTTATTAGTACCCCGACTCCATTGTTTTGCGTTTTCAATGCCAACGTACAGATTTTCAGGGGTAAATCTCCTCAGAACTGCATTGACAACCTGCTGGGTTATAGCTTCGAACTGCGGACCTCCTTCAGCAGCATACCGTTTAGCGTGTGCTTTCTGAAGGAACCAAAGCTTTTCAAAAGCAACAACAGTGTTTCCTTTGGTAAGCTTTAAGTTAAACTAGCCATGATATTAGTATAGTACTATCTTCAGGAGCAAATAGATGATACATACGTTCTCTTCTAGCTCCTTTAGGCTGAACACGTCTGATTTGCGGGTATGAGACCACCCAAGTAGGGCTGCAAAGTTGGAAAGGGTCTCCGGGAAGATACCCTGCTGATCTTTGAAAAAGGATATATCGATGTCTGCGTTCCGCTTGCTGAGCTTTTGGCCGTTCATATCAACCAATAGGGGTACATGGCCAAACTGTGGCGGTTTCCATTCAAAGGCGTTATACAGAGCCATATGCATGGGCGTTGAGGACATCCATTCGGTGCCACGGATAACATGGGTTATCTCCATGAAGTGATCATCCACAACATTGGCAAGATGGTAGGTTGGGTGACCGTCGGACTTTATAAGGATTGGGTCTAGATATACACCCTCGTGTCCCCCTCGTTGTCCAACCGGACGATTCTGGCCGGTCTTTCCATACACAAGATCGTTGAACATAGGATACTGGTCATCAACCCGTAGACGAACAACATGAAGCTCTCCATTAGCTGCTCGCTCGTCAGACTCCTCTTTAGATATTCCCGCGCAGGTTCGGTCGTATCCTGGTGTCAGTCCCATCTCGTTGCGGTGTCGAGCCACACTATCGAGGTATTCTGGCGTGCAAAAACATCTGTATGCATGGCCACCGGAGATAAGTCGCTGCGCTTGGGTTTTATAGAGCTCGGTTCGCTCGGACTAAGGGCCTTTTATGAGCTTGGGGTACAGTGGTGTAGTATCAATCTGGGCCAGTTTACCTGTCTATACGGCCCGTAGGGGCCGCCAACTACTGGACCTAGAGCCATTTAACATCAGAACAGCGTTCTCTCTCCCATATTTGTGTTTCATATTGAGGCCCGGTCGTACCTTCGTCCCAGTATATGCCAGCCCATCGTAGATCATCGTAAAGCCGTTGCTCGGCTCCAGGAATTGTCCTTTTCTTCGACCGTCAGTGAATATTCCTGCAGTTATAGCAATTCCCCTACAGCTAAGCTCCCCAGAACCAATATTATCATACCTGGTCCGTATCTTCAATGCGAAGAAGAAACTGGCCTCCGGTGCGTTTTGCGAGCAGGTAGTTAAATAACGCCGTTCTGAGCGATCCAAGGTGAAGATACCCTGTCGGTGAAGGTGCAAATCGAGTTCGAGCCGGTGTATCAGGTAGGGTATTCTTAGTTCTTTTATGCGACAGACTGGCTGTGGTCGAGAAATGCGACTGGCAGCTCTGGCAGACCCAGGGAGCTCTGGCGAGGAGCGCGCGACGCGGCAACATAAGCGCTTTCATGGTGGACAGGCAGTTTAGCTATTCATCATCAAGCCCAGCAAGTGAAGGGCCAGAAGACAGATTCACTTCTTGCATTCAGCATCCAGAGACAGGATACTGTAACTGAATGATGCTCTTTTCCTTCTTGCTTCACTCCGGTTGCTGTCAAAGTAAGAAAATTACTTTTAACAGCGTTTCCTCCCGCCGCTAAAAATTAAAAAAAAAAATTTAAAGAACTTTTCCTCTAACTACCAAATCAAACAACCGGAATTACAAATTTTCATACTTCTTGCGATCTTGAAGAAACCAAGATAATATTGTCACTGGAGGCTGTGACTGCTGGAACGGACCGTTCAATATCTGTTCTTTGCTCGTTGAATCGGCGGAGACCTTTTTCGTCTCGTCCTAAAGTTGTGAGAGCCGGCGGGCGGTTGAGCAGAGAGTAAGTACCAACAGGCAATTGTCAAGGGAATATCTGAAGGAATCTTCCAAGCGAATCAGACAGCGGTACTAACCTGAACAATTAGTGAGTTCCGCCGCAGCAGAGGTTGATCTATATGGTATATCTATCTTCCCGGGAAAGCCATCGACAGAAGGTGATAATGGGATGATACTGATATCGGTAAAACAGAGGTTTTGAACCTTGACAGATCCGCATCAAAGGAAGAGATTCGAAAAGCTTATAGAAAGGTATGAGACGGCTGTTACGAGATACGGTGACGCTTTTTATGGACCATTTGCTGACCAGGGCTAAACTCTCAAATAGCTAGCTCTCCAGTATCACCCAGACAAAGTCCAGGAAGATGAACGAAAGGAGTCGGAAATAAAATTCAAGGCTGTCAGCCAGGCATACGAGATTCTTTATGATGAAGAGAAGAGACAGATCTACGACACTCAAGGAATGTCGGCGTTCGATGGGTCTGGCAGACCAGGTGGCATGGGCGGAGGACCTGACCTCGATGATATACTGGCCTCCATGTTTGGCATGAATATGGGAGGTGCAGGCATGCCTGGCTTTGCTGGACCAGGAAGACGCCGGAAGGGACCCAATGAGGAACAGCAATATACCGTGAGTCTAGAAGATCTTTACAAGGGCAGGACGGTAAAATTTGCCAGTACAAAAAACGTCATTTGCACTTTGTGTAAAGGGAAAGGTGGTAAAGAAAAAGCTACTCCAAAGAAGTGTTCCACTTGCGGAGGCCAAGGTAGGGCATTATTTTGGTGGTGCCTACTTTAAATATATGTTACTAATTATATTGAACAGGACAAAAGGAGACCTTGGTACAGATTGGACCAGGCCTGGTCACTCAGTCTATGATGAAATGCGCCACTTGCGATGGTGTTGGTTCTTTCTTCCAGCCAAAGGACAAGTGCAAGAAATGTAAAGGAACGAAGGTCACCGAAGAAAAGAAGATTCTCGAGATTTACATCCCTCGGGGTGCAAGGTATTGATATAATGCACACTCTGCCTTGATTTCCCTAACTAATAGTGCATATAGGGAGGGTGAGAAGATCGTCCTCGAAGGGGAAGGTGACCAGCAGCCTGATGTCGAACCCGGTGATATTGTCTTTCACTTGGAACAGGCTGAGCATAAGACTTTCAAGCGTGATGGTGCCGACCTATCTGCCACTATAGAGGTTACCCTTGCCGAGGCGCTCTGCGGATTTTCCCGTGTTGTTTTGAAACACCTTGATGGAAGAGGAATCGAAATTAAGCATCCCCAAAAACCTGGCGACGTGCTTCGCCCAGGCCAAGTCCTCAAAGTTGCCGATGAGGGCATGCCATTCAAGCGTGGCGATGCTCGAGGTGATCTCTATTTGATAGTTGAGATCAAGTTCCCTGAAGATGGCTGGGCCTCGAACCCAGCAGTCTTGAGTCAACTCCGAGAGTTGCTTCCAGTGAACAAGGCACCCGCCATCGAAGCTGATACTGTCGATGAGGTAGAATTTGACTCCAAGGCCAGCCTAGATAGCATGGGCGAAAATGATAACCAGGGAGGTGGTTCCTGGGTTGACGAAGATGATGATGACGGTGAGGGAGGTGCTCAGTGCGCTACCCAATAGTTCTGAGAATCATCCTATCATTGCTGGGTGGACATCGTTGTTTTATCCGCCTGTACTCTGCTTGCTATTTCCTTTTTTGTTTAAGCCACTACTTACCATTTTGGCTCTCATGACTTTACCTTGATGACTCGCTAGACAAAGACACGACTTGTTATCGGAGATCAGGCTTTTAGGCGTTTGGGATAAGAAAAGAATAATTGGTTTCATTCTTCCTCTCTCCTCTTCATCTTAGAGCCTGGTGGGAGTGCTTCGTTGATTGATTTCGCCGGCACAGAATCATTTGCATGAATGGCTAAAAGAATAGAGAATGGAACCGGGATTTTTTATAATGATACATCCTACAACTTTGCATTTTCACTTTTTCCTTCAACTAGTAACCTCTTCAGCCCCTTGCGAATTGCTGCATTCATACCAGCCGAGGTAGGTTTCATGTCATTTTTCTGAACAAACACATGAGTGAATCCACCTACAACTTTCACAGCTTCTTCACCCCGTTTAAAAACTCCAACCTCATACGTCACGCTAGATTTACCCAGCTTAATAACACGGAGTCCTAGATCGAGTACATCTGGGAAAGCAACAGAGGCGAAATAGTCACAATATGATGATACCACGAGGCCAATCTGTGCTTGTTCTGTAGCCGAGTTTCCCGAAGTTGAGTTGGATGTGGATGGATTGAGGCCACAGTAGGATATCAAATATGAATTTATAATAGAATCAAAAAGGAATGCATATATGCTGTTGTTGAGATGCGAGTACATGTCGTTATCGGACCTTTTGCTGCCAGTTAGTTGTGTTCAGTATTATGCAAGGAGATTTGCCTACCATCGTGTACGGTACTCCAAGTGGTATGCGTAATCCTTCCTCGTTCTGCCTTTCTTGCTGGAAAGGTCATTTTTCATATTTCTTGATCTTCTTTGAATTTGCTTTTATAGTTTTATTTTCCTTAAATGATAAATTCAACATGAATTATAGAGCACTTTTTGATTAATGTCGAGTATGGATCAAAATGCAAGTCACGATAAGGTTGAGCCGAGGCTTTTTCTTATCAGATAAGATGGATTACTAATAGTAACCTAAACCTTATATCGATATAAACTCATATCACATGATCGAAATAAAGATTTGAGGGATGAAAGTTTTGGGAGATGTCGAAAAAGATATCAAAATTGAATTGCGCATTCAGTCAAAAGCTAAGAGGCTGATCGTTCTGTGCGTTACTTCTCTATTTCTGGTATTTTAGCTTTTTGTTGCTTAACTTCACTTCTGGCGCTCTCATCGCGTGCCCTTGCCTACCTGGCACGGCGAGGCTTCCACTCCCCTCCAACCATGGCTCTCACAACCTATGAAGAACCGAAGCCAGAGCCTGAGGTTTTCAAAGAACCTCCTGAAGTTTGTGTTACGCCATGCGACCCCTGGCCACGGCCCTATTACATTGAAAAAGGGCTACGTCGTGTGGCCCCGTACTACTACACCTACAATACCTACTGCAAAGAGAGATGGAGGGGGAAGAACCTGTTGGATATCTATTCTACGGAGTTCAGAGACAGGCCAAATGGATACTATGTTTGTCTTTTCCTACTTATACCATTTGCCTAGTTCGAGTCGAAACTGATCTTTATTATTTACAGAAAGCTGCCATCGATGGTGGACGGATTACTATTGACGGCAAAGTTGCTACGGCCGACAGCATAATAAACAACGGTCAGGTCATCTCGCATACATTACATAGACATGAACCCCCCGTGACTAGCCGTCCGATCAAGATTATTCACGAGGACGAAGATATTATTGTTATCGACAAGCCTGCCGGTATACCAGTGCATCCTGCTGGGAGATACAACTACAATTCAATAATCGAGATAATGAGATCGGAGCGTGGGCTTGGCTGGATTCCATATCCATGCAATAGGCTCGATAGACTTACTTCTGGCATCATGTTTCTTGGAAAGCACCCCAAGGCTGCGGAACAAATGGCGCAATCGTTACGATCACGAACTCTTCGAAAGGAATACATCGCGCGTGTAAAGGGCTATTTCCCCGACGGGGTCGTTCTTTGCGACCAGCCGATGCTAAAAGTCAGCCCTATCCTTGGTTTAAATCGAGTTAGAGCCACAGGAAAGGATGCTCAAACGAAATTCCGCCGGATTGCATACTATCCCCCTGTAGAAAAGGAGGATAAGAATGGGGAGGCCACTGGCTCACAAGGCCCTGACTCCAGAGCATCCACACCACCCCCGTTGCCTGCTGATGTTGACGAAGGATACAGTATTGTTCACTGTCTCCCGCTCACAGGACGAACCCATCAAATTCGAGTTCATCTTCAATTTCTCGGTCACCCAATTACAAACGACCCAATATATTCAAACCGCCGCGTCTTTGGTACCAATTTAGGCAAATCTGAAAGTACTGGTGAAAACGATGCTGAAATCATCGATCGTCTTTCACGCATGGGCAAAACTGAGCCGGCAGATTCCCTCTGCTACCAAACCTTCCAGACTCCACCCCCAGAGCGTGTTACCCTAGGTGGTGATCCAAATGTTGTCAACGAACTTCTTGCGCGCGAGCACGATGTTATGATAAATGACTATCTTAGGAGGAAATGTGAAAAGATGAACGGAGAGAATTGTGAAATATGCGGCACTGAACTGTACTCTGATCCGGGTGTACATGAGATGGGTATATTTCTCCATGCAGTTGCATATGCTGATAATGCCGGTAAATGGAAATATAAGAGCCAGATGCCTGAATGGGCCATGCCGCCTGAAGGTGCTGAAGGGCCAACGGAGGCACCAGAGTGGACCGAAGACATAGATGGTGCTGTTGTTATTGGGAAAGGCATGATGGAAGATGATGAAACGGCTTTGGTAGAAGGGCTGGGTACTATCAACTTGACGAAGTTAAAGGAAGAGAATGTGAAAGCGGAACCTGTTGCGTCTAGCGGCTAAGCGTTTGATGCTATAGATCTTCGTATATAGAATATAAAATTCTTGCATATAATTATAGACTCACGGTTTTTAACGACGCGAAACTACATCAAGTACGGAATGCAAATATTTTACGTACTCATTGACTGTGTGGTGAGCAGCTATGATAATTATATCGTAATATCATGAAACTTGTACATCCGAGGTATGCTTCTTTGCTTCATAGGGAAGTCCAGTCACACCATTGGGAAGTCATTGCTAATGGGGATGCAGCTGGTTGCAGTGTGAACATGACCAACTGTCCGCAGGACCATTTGAGTGAGAATCGGGTAATTTATTCATTTTTTTATAAATTCATCTAACCCAACCCTGGTAGGAAAACCGCGTTTCCTAGAGTAGAACAAGGACGAAGATTAAGTGATCATGACAACACCCAGTTCTCCCCAACCGCCCAGCAAACAAACGAACAAAGAGAGAAAGCGTTTACGATTCGGTCGTTAGTCTGCCCTTAGCGTTCGTGACCTTGACACCGAGAGCCTTGGCCTTAGCAATGATATCGACTCGCTTGGCGGAAGAAACCGCGTGACCGATCCTAATTGGCGAAAAAGTAATTAGATATGATCGAAGAAATAGAGAGATTATAACCTCTGCTTTAATCGAAAGGCATCCGGGGGAAACGTACTCAGCAGCGTATGTGCGGTTGTGCATCAAAAGTAGTTCAACGTCCTTCGGGTTCTGGACAAGGAACACTTTGTGCCCGGAGGGGATCATGTGGCGGGTCTTCTTGTTGGAGCCATAGCCAATCTATTAAAGTCGACCTTGCATCAGTATATTCCATTCAACCTGTAATTCCAATTTGCGTCGCCAATACGGAACTTGATTGTGTAACGGGTGTCCTTCATTCTCCAAGGCGCCGCGTGGTAAGAATAAAACGTACTTTTGGCATAGCAGCCTGGCCGGAGAAGCGTCGGCGGACACGGTTGTCAATACCCTTTGGTTTGCGCCATGAAGGGTCAACACGCATGTAGGTATCAGACTGATGTCTGTTGAAGCGCTTCTTGTCTATATCCCAACAACAAATTCAATCAGCTAATTATCTTCAACCATGTCTTTATATTTTCCCATCCGATAACGACGTATCCAATTGCTTCCCGTGAGGCAGCACAAGCGCGAATGACCCAGAGAAAACCGGTTATATTCCAAGTGCACATAATTCGAATCGACGGTCAAGTTATTTGGAGGGAGGGATGTTCGAGATAGACATACGCTTCTTCACGATCGGGACATGCTTCTTTGCGGCGACCATCTGATGAACATGAACACAGGTTAGTTCAAATAAGCCCCAACAGGAGGACTCAGCATCAATGTCTGTGACGCCAGTATCGAGGGTAAACGCACCTTGGCTGATGTTACGGCGTCCCGAAGCTACTCGTTGGGTGGTTGTTCTTCGTTATTGTCGTCGTCGAAAAAAGGAAGAGAAATCTCAAGATTTGCCCGCAGTCGCTTTTCCAACGAGTCGCACTTCCCGTTGTAGACTAGCGCAAGTGTTTCTAAGCGAGGAGAGAAAAAAGGTCTAGGGTTGATGACTAATAGCCCTATCTTCTTTGCTGAGTAATTTAGTCACATGACGTATAACATTAGGTAATTATGATGTAATCAGGCAGAAGGGACGAACCGCCAAGACAGCAAAAACAGAAACAAAACAACAGCCGCATCTTTCTTGCTAACTGACGGGATTACTATCATACGGTATGCGGCAGTGGGATTATTATGTTAATAAATTGACTGCTAGCCGAGGACTGAGATAGAACTCCAGAATTAACACAGACACCTGAGCCCTCTTAAACCATGAAAATGCAGCAAAAAGGCACCTGAGCCCGAGTGATGTTTCGGGTGAGAAGGTAGTGAGACTACTAACTAACATATCGCATAACCATCATATAAAAAGCAGTTCAAATCATCACAAACGCCATAGTGGGGTATAACGCAGGGGTAAGTAAGGGGTATGAGCAGAAGGAAATAATGTACGCGCCGGAGTTATGGGTTTCCTATCAAACCCTTGACTCTTTCAACCCGCTCGACTGCTTTCTCCAACCGCTCAAGCCTCGTCCTTTTCTCCTTGTCCCGCTTTTCAAGCACCTGGACACGCTCCTCGAGCTTTGCTCTCTCCCTCCGCTCGTTTGCTACCATCTCATTTGCTCGCATGAATAGCTCGGCGCTCAGTTCTTCGAGTTCGGTATTTGCTTGCGTGAGACGCGACTCTGCCTCCCTCCGAAGGGCTTGTTCGCGGTTCAGCGCGCCCTGCAGGAAACTGGTTGGCTGTGGCAGGCCGTTGTAAAGTGGGTTCATGGCCGAATGTTCTCCGTTTTTGCCTGCTCTTGTAGATGGGGGAGAAGAAGACGAAGAGGACTGTGGGAGTTGGCTTGAAGACACTGATTGACGAGACTGGGTCGCGCTGGCGTTGCTACTTGTTCGTCTGCCATAGGGGAGGTATGAAGCAAGTGTTGCCAGTCTAGTTTGTTGCCGGGGAGGAGAGGGTGACTGCTGTTGTTGTGGCGGGTGCTGATCCAGGTTCCGGAGCTCCGGCGCGCTCACGGGTTTAGACTGTGAGCTTTGCGACTGACTGCTCATTCCATCCTCATAGTCAGCTAGTTTCTCGGCTAGAAGTAGAAGATTTGGGTGGTCAGCCTTCTTCGTAGTGTTGTGTACTCTGTGTGAAACTGTTAACATACCAGAGAGAGCAGCTTTCTCGGTCGGCAGCCTGGTCTGCGCCTCCAGTTCCTCTATCCGCCTCTGCTGGGCTATGTTCCTCTCTTGCAGCTGTCTATATGCGCCCTCAAACCCACATCTCGGGCAACCGGTATTTGACAGGCCCTGCGCATCACTGAAGCCGCCGGCTCCTGCAGCGGCTGCGTCCAGGGAGTACGGCGGCCTAATATGCGTAGGTGGGACTGCTGCCGTAGACATATGCTTTTTCCGTCCTCAAAGTCGCGAATCTTCAGAGTCATCCGTGTGCTGTTGGCGATGGTAGAGGAGTCGCATAGCCGCCCACTACCTCATGCTAGCAGTCCTGCAGCTGCAAGGGTCGGGGCACTTCGGTCGCAGGAACCGGCAGGGATGCAGAACGGCAGGCGGGCACTTCTGTATAGCAAAAGCAAAGCAAGTATTGTAGGTATTTGATGTGCGTCTGGGGAAGATTGACAAGTCGACTGCAAGATGGATCAGCAGGCACAGAACTTCCTTTCGGCCTTTTGAAACGAAGGCTGAGAGGAGGCTAAAAAAGCCACAGTATGCAGGTCAAAAGTTTCGACAGACCCGAAGCCACTAACCGCCGGCTTCTCCTTTCACTTTCCGCTAACTCTACTCCGTAGGCTTGAAGAACAATGGATTTGTTCAGATGAAAGAGAATCCTGAAAGAGAAGATTTTTATTTCGGTTCTTGGACCTAGTGTTCGCTAGGTGAAACGAAGTGCTTGCTTGCCGTGCAAGACCTAACAACTTTGCCTCGTCCGTTCCCCATGGCGAATCAGGGGGCCTGGTGGATAGTTACAAAGGTACGTACCTTGATTGATATCAATCAAACTTCAATAGAACCAAACACCGAAGAAGCATTATCCGGGTGCTTTGCGCGTAGCAAAGCCTAGATGTGTCCCTCGGCAGCTTGTACAATAGTTATGGAAGTAAATTATCACCGAACTCCTCTATCCTGCTTGCAAACTATGGAAACGCTTTTCCTTCTCCAGACGAAACACACTGTAGCAGATTGGAAGAGGAAGAAAAAGGAAGAAGAAAATGGATTCCGATAGGAAATACAGCTAGCTTTAGAGAAGGGGGAAAGAAATTGTATAATAAATGGGAGCAAAAAGCTGATCAGACTCGTAAGAAAAGACCGTTAGTTACATGTATGCGCAAATCTTAGACCAGGGGAGAAACGGCAGCTGGTCTCGACGGCAAAGAGATATTGTGCAACAAGGGCGGCATTCCAGGGGGAGACGAAGGGCGAATATCATTTTTCGCTTGAGCGAGGCAGGCAGCCTTACCAAAGGCGAGAGCGGATGCTGGATGGAAGCCGGAGAACGGAAACCCTCAAAGCAGAAACATATTCGTCTTTCCGAGGAACCGAAAGAAAGATCCCTAGTACCGGCTATGTCCGGCCGGGAATATGGCAGTCGAAGGAGATGTCATAGCTAAAGGAGACTCGTTTGATGCCGATGCTGTAGTATTGATCCCCCAAACACCAGTGTAAAAGAGACACCAGCGAAGCTGCGCAAAAAATAAAAAATCATCAAAACAACCAGGTCTTCCGGAAGAAAAAGCGTCATGTACATCGTCAGAGTACATGGAGAGCAATGATGAAAGAAACCCAGCAGCCTTTTTTCGAGTCAGTCTCAATCAAAACGCTAGATAAATCACTCAACAGTAAAAAGTCATGCAGGTGAAAAGAAAGGTAGAAAAGAACAAGGAGACAAGAAATCGTTTGGCGTTTTTTGTAGAGTGACATGACATGACATGAAAAGAAAAAGTTTCAAGTTTCCCGTGGAAAAACAAGGTATAAAAGTAGGCTGGGAAGATATGCTGCAAGAAGACCGGGTACGGTCTGTAGGGTAGATCGATTCCTACTCTTCCTTCATATCGCAGTAGCCAAAAAAAAAGAGACAAGAAGACGAAACTTAAAGGGGTAGTTAAAGGGAAGAGAGAATTGAATGAAGAAAGGGATGTCGAGTAAAGCCCGTTAATGTAAAGAAGGAAAAAACTGCATCGTCATTTTCGGAAACGTTGAAAGACATCGCTTATCTGATCGTTATTGCGAGAAGGCAGGGGGATGGCGGAAGAGCAGCTGCATAACAGGGGTATAGAAGCGACTCTGTGAGTTGTTTGACATCCAAAGATAGATTGGAGAACGTCCAGCATATTGCGGTGACCTCATCTGCAAGTCCTCCGGTGTAACCTTCTTCTGATATTGGGTATCAAATTGTTGATGCCTAAGAGGCCTGGCCACCACGGTTATAGTTTCCACGACGG